GCTAGAGTTTTCACATGGCTCCACGTCTGCCCACATGCTTCCATCTCCTCTTCACATGACCTCTTCCAAGTCACACTCACACTGACGACCAACTCGCCGCCTCCCTTTCGGGTTCCACTCGAGCAATGGCTTGTCTAGTGATGTCACTCACTTGATGGTTTCCTCATAGTATGGCCAATCCAATCCATCTCTATTTCTTCCTACCTATTTGTTTCACAATCGGTTCCTGCTGTGTTGCTTCGTTCCCAAAGATTCCTGCCTGTTGCTGATCTTTTCTGGCCAGCCATCTGATCTTGAGTAGAATTGGGCGAAAACAACTGTTAATGAAGCTGCATCAATGATTGGCTATAATTTCTCTTCTCCTCTAACTCACACGGTCTCCTCTATGTCACCGTCGCACTGACGACCTACTCATCGCTTCCCATTTGGATTCCACTCAACTACGTCATTCGACGGCCTCCTCCATGTATTCCCGATCCATTTCCATTTTCTCCTACATATTTATTTGTTGAGCTATCGGTTCTTGGCTGATTTGTTCCGACAGTTTCTTGTTACTAAATTTTTCTAGCCATTTGATCTTCACTATGAAGTGAGCGAAGGCAGTTGTTGATTAAGGTCTACAACCTGTTGGAAGTCCTTTTCTTGACGCATACAGGATATAATGGGACTATATGAACAGCGCTGGCAAGTTATGTAATCAAAATGACGTTATTATGAGTAATTAGTTGTGCTTAAAGTCTCGTCACCAGTAAGCAAATAACACTGTATCACAGTGTGTATAGGTTATATCAAATAAGATTATCCTACTATGGAATTCTACTCTGTTGTGGTGCCCAAATTGCATTTTTACATCAAAGACTACATCATAGTGGATTAAATGCAGGGTGAAATGCGCTTGAAAGGAAGAATAATGTGTAACGATTGCAGGAGGATAGAACGAATAGCATAATGTTAAGAAAAAATAAACCGATTATTATAAAGGCAATGTGAAGTGAGCTACGAAGTCTTTCTGCGCTCACAAACTCTGCATACTAATACTTCGATTAATAGAGCTCTTGAGGCTGTTAGGAACGGAGTGAACATTGATCCTGAACTGAAAAGTAGGACTAAGCTCTCGACTGATGAAATAGGTGTTCAGGTATGTATAACCTCCACTGTTTTGAAATTTCAAAATAAACCATATAAACAAACTAATGGGTATGGCAATTGGATTTATTTTATTTATTTAAAATTTTGATTATAGCTTGAAATCACACTGTATTTTTGGTACAAGTATGGAATTTTCAGCATTTGATATCGGTAGCCCAAATTTTGCAGACCGACCGTAGATATCAAGTGTGCGTCGGCAGGGGCTCGAACCCCGGACCATGTGCATGGTTGGCGAGAGTCCTAACCACTGTGCCACCGACGCGCCAGTATCCCCAATAATGACAGATATATATTAATGGATAGCTGGAGACATTAGACTTTTAGAACGTTTAATTCTGCTCCTAGGTTATGTTGGAGATATGTGGATGACACCATCACCCAGTTGAAATCTAAACGTATCCCTCAGTGTTTTACACTTATAAACTCAATAGTAGACGGTATCGAATTCACTGCTGAGTTAGAAAATGAACAGGGTGAGGTGGTCATGCTAGACTATAAAATAAAAAAGAAAAAATGGTGGGTGTTTAGATTCTAGTATTTATACGAAACCGACACACTTTAATAAATCCTTAGGCTTTAATTCATCCCACTCAGAATCTGTAAAGATATGTTTATTTAAATGTCTTTGTAATCGAGCGAAGGGACTTACTAGTAAGTTAGAAGATTTAAATAACGAAGTCAAACGAATAAAGGAAGTATTACTAGTGAGTAACTACCCCCTAGAATTTATTCAGAAATTTTATGAAGAACCATAGAAAAAACTAAGACTAGCAATAAAAGTGACGAAAATAATATAGAATTCAAAGCCTCTCTGTAGCACTGGCGTATAAAGAAGGGACATCAGAGGTCTCACATGGGATTCTCAGTGAAACTAGAATCAAGGTAGCATTTAAAACAACCAACTATCTAAGAGTTAAACTTTATCGGCTTGAGGATTCAATAGATTCAATACAGAAAAATAATATAATTTATCAAATATCATAAAATGCCTATGAGGTCAATTACATGCGTCAAACTAGTAGATCGAGGTCAGCTAGATTATTGGAACATTTAGCTACACCAAGAATAATCGACGACCTTACTAAGTTAAATAACCTGGAAAAAAAAGATCAACCATTGCACTGCATTCACTTACATGTAATCAAAAAATAGAGTGCGACAGGGTGAGAGTATTGAAACGTAACATAGTTCGATGGAGAGAGAAGTTAATTACTGACTGAAGCTGTCTGTGTTTAGCCATTCAGTAGTGCACATGTGCAACGGGAATAATACAACATGTTGCCTATATCGGAGATATGGAAAGTGGCAACAATATACATATTGTGTGACTGAAATGATATGATTACGAGTGACAACAATTTGTGCTCAAAGCCTTGTCCTCCAGTAGTTAATACTGCCTCATCAATATATGATTATTAAAATAAACTTAACTAATATGGAATGATTTTACAAATTAAAATGATTAGTTAATTGGAATCGTGTCACTACAAACGAAAAATAGAAGAAGATAAAAGAGCCAATTATTTTGCTAATTTGTAGATTTCACTCTCAACACTAAAACTATGACAGATAATGCGCGGGTGCCGTGTAGCATATCGTTGAGTGTTTTGTAGTCAGTTGTGCTAACGAGCATGACTTCTTCAGGTCGTACTGGTCAAGATGCAACGCCGAGATAGTTGTTAATATATGGAGAATTTTGATAGTCAAACAACATGAATTTAGAGCATTTCTCCCATGGGATCAGGTGCCTATCGACTACAGTAGTAAAGAGCTGACAAGTTGTCTTACTACTTGTCCTATTATGACACAGACTTTTGTAAAATAGTCCAGGGAAGAATAATAGGAAAGCAATAATTCACAGTGTGTAAGGTGCAGGAGTTAACAAATTGTGATTCCTGATTTTCCTAACTTCTCAATGTAGAAGGTGGTTAGATGAAACATTTTTCTAGAAATCGATAAGATATGGAATGACCACCCAGGAAAGGTGAGAGGAAGGAACTATTCCCAGGTATTTTATGAGCCTGACTTAGTTTCTGTTTCTATACTACGAGTAGGGGGTTTATGCGTGGGTCAGCCGGCAATCGAACCCCGACCTCCAACGTGACTGGTGAGAAATCCACTATTCAACCTTTGATAGTTGAATCGGAATAGTAACCTACTTATCAAGTTAATCTGGTAGCAGGATGACTCCAGGGCTATCAAGCCCTACGCTATTAGCTTGAATCCTTTCGCGGTCCATACTTTTGTATTTTTGTTCTTCGATCATCACGCATTATATCAATACAATATTAAATAACAAATTGTATATGTATATGTATGTATATAAATTGATTTAGAAATAGCCTCGCCTAGCATACTAGCTCGTCTTAAGCACGAAGAAGGGAGACGGAGGATAGAGGCAAAAATCAGCTGATCGCTTCAGATATCAGGTGTTATCGTGTTGTTGTGTTTGGGCTATTCTGCGTTGTTTTTAGTGAGATTTTTTCGAGGGAAACGCATTTTAAATAGCGTATTTTAACGAAAAATCGTGTAAAAATTGAAAAATCTCTGTCTTTTCATCTAATTGACATGCTGAGAGGCATACGGAATGTCAGATGTCGCTGTAAATTTTCAATGATGATAAAAAATAATTAATAATTTGCATAAGTGGAACATATTTCCGTGAATGATAAGGCATTGTGTTGAATCCACTTATTCTTACCTGTGAATCGGACTGCTTCTTACATCATAATGAGTATGTGCAGCTTCGCTGAACGCTTCATAGGTATCCTCAAATGCTTCCCAGGTGTTAAGACTGTTGCACTTCAAAATCTGGGGAAATACACTAACCAGCTAATCAGTATTCACTAACAATACCACTTTCAGCAGATAACGCCTATTCCATATTGCCACTGTGTATACGCGTACTTGAATCTACGAATCACAGTGTCTATTCGTGACCTTCAATTCTCAGCCTCTCCATAAGCCATTCGTGCCTCTCACCTCTGTCGAGAAAGGGAAGGTTGAACGTTAGACCAGAGAACCTATCCAGGAAAACCAATTCCCTCACTACTGAAACTTCAAAGCATTATAGAAAATATTTAAAAAGGAACTTATTCTTCATTGAAATCGGAGAGACGAAATGACGTAGGCCAGTGAAATTTGTTGGTAAACTACTCGGATGATGAGTCTTCTTTAGACGAAGTTAAAATAAGCATCGGGACAGGGAATGCCTGAAACACGTTTAAAGCTGCTAAGAACGCTGCTCACATTGCCAAAAGACATGAGAAAATATGATATCAAAGTACCATCAGTTTCTGAGACAAGGCAGAATGGAAGTGGACTCTGTAAAATTGCTCATCGGAGATTCAAATTGGAGCCAGTGATTTTGATGTCCATAGAATGACATGCTTCAGATAGTATGAGAAGGAAATGAAAGCCCATGTGCAGAGTTGTGAAGTCGGTTATAAACAAAAAAATGTCACAGAGACTATAGTGAAATGGAGAGGTGTTGCCAAAGCATTATGCTTCAATCGAAACTCAAGGGAACAATAATAATAATAATACAGTTTCGTAAAAAAAGCCATTTGAACACACTCAAAGCATTTATTTTTGATCTAACGAAAGAATTCTTAACTCGTTCAATTTTCAGGTACATAACATAAATGAAAAATTAAACGGAAATTAACAGGTGGTTTTAAAAAAAAGAACTAGAATTAAAAACATTTACTACGAAAAGTCTTAGTTACTTGTGCATCACACACTTGTCTTTCAAGTTGTAAACTCAATCAGCCAACTTTAGCAGTTTTGTTGCTTTCATATGCCCTTCAGTGATATTCCCATTTTGGCTTTTTTAAAATAAATAAATAAATTTAACACGGTTTGAAAGATTTCTCCTTTAGTCTAGCTTCATTCAGTATATTTTCAGTTATTGTACACGGATGGCTGTCATTATTCGACGTTCTAGCTTGATGAAAGCGTAACTGTGTAAAATCATCAATAATTTTAGCCTCAGAGGATCTATGCAGGGCATCTGGTAGTGTAGTTCCAGTTAACCATTCAGTTAGTCGTTGTGTTCGATGTGTATTGACTGGATGACATTCACCGCACACGGCACAATAATAACGTTTACATTGACCATCAGTTGTATAGAAGACGTTGGTTGGATTAATTTGTGGTATTTGACCTGTAGGCGAAGAAGAAGACAATCAGAGAGATTTATTAGAAGAGACATTATGTAAACAATTGACCGGCTTTTTACCAGGAAATAATCTTATCGATTTACAATATGCAGATGATATATGTCTGATTTCTCACAAACTGGAAGGTATGAAAGGGAAAAGCAACAAGTTGACAGTGGAAGAAGCATCTAGAGAAGATAGGCCTTCAGGTGAACATAGAGAAAGCAGAGGTGATGAAGATTCCTGGCCAACAGCAACAGAAACAACAAAAGGCGACAATCAGCATAAATGGGAGGAACCTGAAAGAGACAACCTCCTTTACCTACCTGCCTACCTGAGAAGCATCGTTTCAACTACAGGCGGAACTGACGAGGATATTTAAGCAAGAATCGGAAAAGCAAGACAAGCTTTCATTACTGTTAAGTCTGTGTGGAGGTCAACAGCATTCAGCAAGAAAAATAAGATCCGGATTTCCAACTCCAATGTGAAGTCAGTGCTACTATACGGATCAGAGACTTGCACTGCGCGTCATAAAGAGTATCTCAAGCAAAATTCAGACCTTCATCAACAACTGCCTTCGCTCAATACTCAAGATCAGATAGCTGGCCAGAAAAGATCAGCAACAGGCAGGAATCTTTGGGAACGAACCAACCCAGAAGGAACCGATTGTGAAACAAATAGGCAGGAAGAAATAGAGATGGATTGGATTGGCCATACTATGAGGAAACCATCAAGTGAGTGACATCACTAGACAAGCCATCGCTCGAGTGGAACCCGGCCGAAAGGGAAGCGGCGAGTTGGTTGTCAGTACGATGGTGGGGTGACTTTGAGGAGGTCATGTGAAGAGGAGATGAAAGCATGTGGATAGACCTGGAGTCAGGTGAAAACTCTAGCAGAGAACCGAAGGCAATTGAGTCGCGCAGCTGAAGCCCTATGTTCCTTTAGGAATTAAAAGAAATAATAATAGTCCTTCCTACTATTTGAAGGCACTGACAAATAGCAGATTCTTCTGGTCACCTTGAGCAAGAATCTTCGAATGCTTTAAATGCGACTCTCTCCTGTTACATTTTAAGTGATACTACAGGACTAGACTGTATTGACCCCCCCCAGCTTAGAGATAGGCATGAGTGAAGTGCTAGAGCTTGCTGACCACTCCACTTATGTGGGGAGTCTTGTTAGCCCTAAAGGGTTGATCGCTGAAGAGAACTCAGCATGCATACAAAAGGCTCGTGTGGTATTTTCCAACCTGCGTTATCTCTGGCGTAGACGTGATATCCCACTGATTTTCAATTAAAGAACGTGTGTACTGCTCACCATTTCTCTCTGTCTTGCTTTATGGTTATGAGTGAGACATGGTCGTTGAAAGTGGAAGACAGGAAGAGACAAGCTGGTCTTCGATCATAGGTTTTTCCGTTCCCCCATGTTAGACAGTGGTAAAATATGGTGAGTAATGTTGAGGTTAGGCTTCGGTAGAGTGTTAGGTAGGGAGGGAAAACCAATCGATAGAGTTATGACGCTACATCAATTTAGGTGGCTAGAATATCTGTTACATATGCCTAGCCATCGCCTTCCTTGGCTGTGGGCAATGTTAACTGACATAGGATTAGGTTGGAAAAGAGATAGTAGTGGTCAAACCAAAATACGGCTCCATCGGTCAATGAAATCCATAATAGCTATTTTAGCCCAGTCACGTAAGGAGGTGTAGGCTGTCTGTCTGGTTGGGATGCTCAGGATGGCAAGAAACAATGAGGACTGGAGACAATTGGTGATATGGCTCAAAATCCTCGTTCTCAGTGGTTGGGTGCAGATGAATTCACTCTTTGTCATGTGTCATGCAGGATAAAAGTCTATTGTTCTTCCATATTACTAATCGATTTCCCTTACTCAGACTTCTGTTTACTGTCTCTCTTTACTATCTTCTCTTGTTTTGTGTGCTACATGGAGTGTAGCAACTCAGACTGATCCATAGTTCTATGTCGAAACCTGTTAGTCAGTTAGTCATGTAAACATTAAAATTGGTAAAGCGAAGGATTTGAGGATAACCATACCTCAGTGACACCACTGTCATCAGCAATGAGTCATCAGAGGCAGGACTTGAAAATTTCAAGAACTGAAAACTGAACAATATTAATAACAATAATAAGAATGAAACGAGTAAAGATAACATTAATTACAAAAGACAGTTTTTAATTAGTCAGTAATATTAACAGGAGATGAAATAAAATATAAGCAATAATGTTCATGTGTTGGTATATAGGGATTTCATTGGTTGAAAAATTTCACCATGGGCTGATATTGATTAGAGAACCATTTGAAAACCTAAGAGTACTCGATAGCTGTTTCGTCTTAGTTTGGGACTCTTCATCGGCACATACTCACCGAGGTTTGAACACATGGTCTTCCGATCACTAGGTGAACCCATAGATCATTCACCCAATGGGACCCGATCCAGTGGCCATCCCATGAACTTCAGCTTCTGCTTTAGCATGGAGATATGAGTGTATATGGATTATTGTATTAGATTTCAACTGGTACTACTGTAGATTTCAAACCTTAACACTCAACATCTACGAAGAATATGCTAGACAGTTTACACCACTTTACATGTGTCAAATCAACAGATAAAAGTTTTGAATATAATGAGGCGTATAACATTTGTTCAATTATGGATGGCAGTCAAAAAACAACACCTTTTTGTGTATCAATCGTTGACAGAAGCTGTGGGCTGTCCCACAGGGTACTGATATACTGTGTTGATACGTGCAAATAGCCTTTTTTGTACGATTGTGTTCTCTTGGCTGCTTAGTTCAATTGGGAAGCTTTCCTTCAAGCACATCTGAGCTACAAATCTTCTCTATTATTTGAAGCACAAATTCTTCAGTGTGTGATTTGAAAATAAGGTGAGCTTCAGGATACGAGGTGACCACCTCTCAGATAAAAGGCAAATAATCTTTACAACTAAACTACGATAATACACTAACAGCAGACTGAGGTAGCCACGATTACCTTGGAATGACAAAAGACAAGGGTCAGGCAACAGATCGTTTTTTGAGAAAATCAACAGATATTTATAGATTTTTATGTACATTATTATTAGCTTTATTGTTAACAGAGGAGCAACGCCTTTTGATTGGTTGTTTACTTGCTGAAGGTTATTCTGTCATCTATTTGTGACCGTTTCTTAGATAGTTAAGCCATATATCTGCGAATCTTGTCTACAAACATTAAGTCTGCTGTGATTGTCTGTTGGGTTCCTCAAAGTTAGTCTTTGTTCTTGTTTTTTCTCATGACCAAGATTTGGGGCATAAACATTGGCGAAAACAGCCCACACCACAACTTAACTTTCAAGTTTATCTTACACCGGTAAACTTAGTTCATTGGATGCGATCAATATTGTTGCATTTTCTGAATAAATAGTGATTTTATTTAGAAGAAATATATAGGTTATGTAGACAGATAAATGGGCTTATTGTAACATTTATTATTCCCTTGGGTTCAGAGCAGAACATACAGATTCAGCATCACATCTTCACTTTGTTCTGTTGTCTGCAACCGTTTTCAGCTGGTCCTTATACTGTCCAAAAGCTCTCATCTTGTCTTCACAAGATCTCCTCCATGTAGCCCCCAGAGACAAGCCCAACTCGTACTTTCCCACTCGGGTTCTACTCGAGGCATGGCCTCGCGCAAAATGTCAACCAGAGATCTACTTAGAATTTGTCCGATCCGTCTCAATTTTCTTCCGTATATTTGCTGAGCAATAAGTTCTTCTTGATCTTGTTGGTGATTCTTTCTGACCATCAGATCTTCAGAGACGGCAGTTGATGATGATATTTATCGGTAGTCTAATGGAAAAACTCTTCACTGGCCAAGTTTCTGATTTAACATTGGTATTGAAAATACTAATTTTGTTCTTCATGCTGAGTGGATATTTCAGAACTGATTTCAAAGTGATGAAGGTTTTTCTTCCCTTTCCGATTTCGATGTTGACATCTTCATCCGTGCTGACTGCCTACAGCCTGAACCATACCTTCTAGATAAATGAAGGAAATGACGTCTTTCAAATTTATTACGTTATTCAAAACACATCAGTTCAGCATGCGTTTTTTGATGCGATTGTTGCTTTTGAATCAGGTCATTTAATTCGGAAGTCTTCACCATTTCTCCGGACACCAACTTCATGGCTAACTTCAATCTGAGGTGACTTTTTGAATTCTGAAGATCTTGGTTGTTCGGTTTGTGAACCAACCAAAACATCATTGATTAATCCATGTTGTTAACCTAAGGATCGAGCACCTGGAAATAATCAGGATGAATATTATCAATACCCCTAATGCTTGTAAGTGGGACATGGCCATTGAAAGGGTAAGACATAAAAATCCCTGCTGTCTTTCACCATAGGTGTCTTCATTCTATCTCCTATTTTAGGTAGTATAATAAGGTTGGTAATACTGAGAATAGGTGTTGTTTGTTAGATATTGAGGGTAAATCGATCGATGAGGTTGTGAAGCTACAACAAGTAAGGTAGTTAAGACACCTGTTACTCATACCTAGCCATCTCCTTCCTCGATGAGCAGTATTAGCTGACAGTATTAGTTTGAGAAAGCACTATTGGTGGCAAGACAAAAACATGGAGTCATCCATTAAATCTTGGACAGTGGGAGGTGTAGACTTCCTGGTTTAGGTCCCCGAAATCCTAAGGACCAACAACTGGTGACGCTTAATGATATCGCACAAAATTGTTCTCACTAGCATAGATACATTCACTCTTATTCACTACAGCGCTTTGTTCTCTTATGTTTCAATGATAAAACTAGTCAGTCAGTCAGTCGTCAGTGATAGTCAGTAAACATCAACACGTACACAAAAATAAATGCAGTTAACGAAAGATTAAAAGGAAATCAACAAGAAAACTGATCACACAGAGGTTATAAAATTGAGAATGTTATCATTTGATATGGAATCACTCAGCACTATTCAAGTTCTGCTGTAACAACAGAAGACAAGGGCTGGCAACAGATTGTTTTATTACGAAAATCAACACGTATTTATACATATTTTATGTGCATTAAGAAGGCTTATGCAAGCAGAAAAAGGCAGTCTTCTGATTGGTTGTTTCTCAGAAGTTAAGCAGACAAACACAGTCTTATGATTGGCTGTTTTCGATATTTCTCGGAAAGTAGAGCCATCTATCTGCGAATCATATTTGTCCACATTTAAGTTTGCTGTGATTGGTTGTTGAAACAGCCTTGTTCATATTTTCTCACGGCCCATATTAGTGACCTAGACATTAACGTAGATTAGTGTCAACCAATCGGCTAGCAGCCTGCTCTCACCACACTGCAAATAATTTATACATAGGTTCATTCAAGTGAATAAATGCTTTACTTATAAAGTCCATAATACCAACAGTGAAAAAATCAAATCCTCTACAAGTGTAGAGGTTTAACCATACAAGTAAAATGTCAAATCTATCACATGATAGATTAGTTGGTAAAATGGTTGACACATACTTATGTCAGTGTCTGTTTTTGGCTAGTGTTTATATGATGTAGTAAATTGATAACCGTTCTGATATATATATAGTCATGATCAATAAAATAGTGGATGTTATTTCACGCAGTATTTACAGGAGAAGGACAAGCAGACTGTCTATTATCACCGATGATATTCCTGATTGTGATGGACTGGATTATGCGTCAGACTGTTCTCGGAAGCGGGTAGACAGGAATACTCTGGACCACTGATAAGAAGACTCTATGAGATCTCGATTTCGCGCATTTTGTTGATTTATATATATAATGTCACACAAACTCGAAGACTTATTCATGACAACCAACTGATAGATGGAAGAAGTAGCAAACACAGGACTCCAGGGGAAGAAAAAGAAGACGGAGATGATGAAGATAACTAACCAATAGCAAAAACAACCAGTACCAATCAGTATCAACGAGAGAGATTTAACAGAGATCGCTTCCTTCACTTATCTAGGAAGCATCATTTCAACTGCAGGCAACAGTACGGATGAAGATATCAAAGTCAGAATCAGAAGGGCAAGATACGCTTTTACCAACCTGAAACCAGTTTGGAAATATCCTGCACCACCATCAACCAGCATAAAGAACAAAATTCCGATTTTCATCACAAATGTGAGGTCAGTCAGTTAGTACTTCTAAAAGGGTCAGAAACTTGGTCGACATGTCACGAAAACGATTTCCAGCAACCAATTACAGACTTTTATCAGAAGCCATCTCTTTCGCCGCTTCCATACTGAAGATCAAATGGCCAGTGGGCTAGAAAGAATGGTCAATAAGAAACTCTGTCTGGCCACAGACCACCAGACGTGGGCCGATTGTTCAACAAATGTGTTGGAGAAAATTGAGACTGATCGTATATACATTAAGGAGACTGTCGAATGGTGTAGCGCTCAATGCGGGCCATTGCTCTAGTGGAATCTAAATGAGAAGTGACGAGTGGTTCATCGGTGCGACGGTGATATGAAGAAGATTGTGTGAAGAGCATATGGGATATTATGGGCAGTCTTGAGGCCTCATGAAGAGAACAGCAGAGAATAGAAGAAAGTAGGTATGTTTGTTGAAGCCCTCTGTTCCACTTGGAACCCAAGGGAATAATAATATTTTACGTAAACGAGATCTAACTGGTTTATTTGCAGACTGTACATCGACCACCATATCATCTATATTTTTCAGACGTTGAATGAAGACTGAGGTATATGTTAATTTTTAAAGTCTGATCAAACCTTCTGTGCTCATTAAACCAAGCAACACCGTATTAATGAACATTTTTATTTTGATGTTTAATAACAAGACTCATTCCGCAGAACACGCATATGAGCAACATTAACAAAGGTCGTATTCATTTTGGGGTTGAAATTACTGCACACAGTCTCAAAGCCCCTTTTATGGGTATTGAGGTTTATTTCCTCTTCCAGGATAAAATATTCCGTATTATCTGATATCAGAGTTAAAATTTTTGTCATTTAACGGCCTTAATAGGTACTGAGTATGTATACTGTCAAAAAAAGTTGTACACCAGATACTAAGAACTCGCTAGAAAACATATTACTTCAATTCAGAAAGGAACATGACTTCCTTCAAGGCTGCAGATACACCTTGCTGACTGACTGGTGAATGCCAACTAGCATGAAACCTAGGTGACGCAAGACTTCCTGTGGCCAATTACCTCCAGCCATCCAACATCAACAATTCAGAGTGCACCTTGACAACGAGCTACTTAGAATGGTGGCTACATTGCAAACTTGACTGACAGAATTTAGTCTGCGCCAAACAAAGGACTAGTTCCTAGTGTCGATTCAGAGAGGGTTGTATTTAGTTTTTCTCAGTTAAGCAGTTAAGGTGCTATTATTTTACTTTACATATGCTTTCTCTGAATGATTTAATAAACGCCGGTATGTTTGAAACTCTTAGCAAAAGGAAAACACAACGTAAATGGTACACTTACTTGGTGCTAAATAGGCAGCATATGGTTCACTGTTAACGTCTACTCGGCGTGTCATCCTATAGGTTGTAATTAGGCAGAATTTTTAAATAATCATATGATTATTGATTAGTTTTATATTAAATCGATAGATATCACAGCTAAGCATTGTAATCAAAGAGATTTGGAAAGATTTAATGACTAAGACATTCATTCATGTATTGTACAAGAAGTAGTTAAATGAAGATTTCATAGAGCTATTTAGAAAAAAACTTATTTTGCTGCATAGCTTGTGTCCATTTATATCACCCAGTGGAGGCTTCAACAATCTGGAAAATACTGGTGGCTAATCGGTGGTACTCCTAACTGAGGATACTAATTTGAGTGTCTCCCATTCACAAGAGATGCAATGTCATAAAAGATTGATAAAAGAATGAAAAGTTCAATAAAAAGAAACTTCCCTGCAGTTAAAATCATAACATTATACAGCTCTACTTCTTCTATAAGCCGCTCAAACTAGATAAATATCTCCAAGTGAATTTATGAATTTATGTACACTTGCAGGGGTAAGTAAATTGAAAGGATGGAAAGAAGGGCTTCTATCCGGTTTTCTGAACATATTCGAAGAAACCTGTACCTGTGCGTCGGTGGCATAGTGGTTAGGACTCTCGCCAACCATGCACATGGTCCGGGGTTCGAGCACACACCGACGCACACCTGATATCTATGGTTGGCCTGCGAAATTTGGGCTACCGATATCCATGCTGAAAATTCCATACTTGTACCAAAAATACAGTGTGGAATCAAGCTGTAACCAAAAATAAAAAAAATAAAAAGAATAAATAAAAAATATCATCAGATTGCAGTTACCAAACAGACAGCTTGTTGATGCTGGTCATTTCGTAGAGGTTTCTAAGCCCTTCAAAATATTGCTTAGACAGAGGACAGCAAATTTACTACGATTTGCCGAAGCTATTGCAATCAAACGATTCAAACCAACCAGATTTATCCACACAGAAAGAGAGTGTGATTAATCTCTCACTGACTGGATAACTGAATTTTGATTTTGATTACATTAATTAGTCATCTAATTCAGTGATTTCAACTCACTGAGCCAATCCCAGACTGTGACCACTTTTGATTTTTTGAGTTGCTAGCGTTGGTTGTTAATTTTTTCCTGTTTTCTGTCTTACCCCTCCCCCTTTTTTCTACTTTGAAAGCGTATAAATTGAAGATAAAAACTTTAACGAAAAAATTGTAATGCTTACATTTTGGATGCGTCGTCAGTTTAATAGGATGTCTACCCTACTACCACTTACATATTGAAGTATGTTGTTATCGTTTACGTAACCATTGTAATTCCGGGTAGTGTGCAAGTGATGAGAACCTGTGAAATAGAATCATATCATTTTATAGTGAAAATCTGGTCTTTCTCCTTTTACGAGTTGATCACCGATTGATATCAGTTAGAGAACCATTGAAAACCAGTAGGGGAATACCGGATAGCCAGCTATTTCATCCTAGTTTGAAAATCATCGGCAGTACGCATCAACTGGGGTTCGAACTCATGTTCTTCCGGTTACATGGCAAGCAAGCTCGTATACCACTCAGTCAGCGGGAGCCGATTCAGTGGCTCATGAAATTTATCAAGGGAACCAAATGTATGAAAGTAATTTGAGTGTGTTTATGTAAGCAAATGTATAAGTCACAGTCGCTTGATGGAGCATCTGCCAAACGAGGGTTCAGGAAAGCTGAAATCAAGGTATCAAGAAGTTCAGTAACAAGAAATTTTAAAGATCACACATGTTCCATTGACTATTTCAAGTCAGTCATTCACTGTTATCAGCGTACAAACCAGCAAACGGATGCTTGCATTTGCAGCCGCTTGAGGAATTAGAGTTTATAAACCCACTCTGTATGTATACAATTGGTGGATGGTGGCTAGCAGTGGAATCCAGGATGCGCATTTCGTCCTATTTGGGACTCGTCAGCTGGATGTACCTGCATTTCTCAGTGAGTGATGATGTTCCCACTGAGGCTCGAACCCAGTACCCATAGTTTCAAACGCCAAAGCATCTGCACAAGAAGCCGACATGTCAACCTGAGACCGAGCACTTCGGTCCAATCAATCGACGGGAAAATAAAAAATTCAATTCACCACTCTGTATGTATAGAAAAAAAATTACAATCACTTTTCATCTACTATGGCAATATCTTTTACTTACTAACTGTTATTATTATGTCATATTTATTTCATCTCTGGTTATTGTCATTCTTGAATCAGTTTAAAACTATCTTTTGTTGGCCCCATTATCCTAACTGGTTTCATTCTTATCACTGTTAATATTTATTATTAGTCAGTTAACAGTTCCTGACATTTTCAATACCCTATTTTTGATAATTATTTGTTTAAATGATGTGACTGAACTATGTTACATTATGATCTTAATTTTAATCTTTTTGTACCCCTTTCCCTTTATCAATCGGAACTTGACTTGCAAAACAGTCACACTTATTGGTTTGTACGATGGATTCATTTTAGTTTATTTACGTATCAGTCACATATCCCACCACGTATTGCTTATAAAAGTATATATATATTACTATTTGTGGAGTATTCGGCTAAACATTTATACCGAATTCTGATGAAATTATCTTGTCTTGGTGTAGGGGATCAAAGAAGTTTGTCAAACCAGCTGAACGTTCAACGGTCGATTAGTTTGTTTGTGCAAATCGAAACACGCGTGGACTGCTGGATTTTCAAGAGATTTTACCGTCGATTGATTGGACCGAAGTGCTGAGTATCAGGTTGACATGTTGGCTTCTTATGCAGATGCTTAGACGATATCTGGGCATGTAATTACAATTGGGGACTCGTCAGCTGGATGTAACTGCATTCCTCAGTGAGTGATAATGTTCTCACCGAGGCTCGAACCCAGTACCCAAAATTTCAAAATGTCATTTTTCATAAATGGCTTCAATAGCGCATATTTTTTTCTCTCTGTTCTTCAGTCATCTTTAGCTGGTTCTACAATCTCTGCAAAGCTTTCATTTTCTATGTAGATGATCTCTGTGTTACACTGGATCACACTACTCGTCGTTTGTCACTCCTGTTCTATTCCAGGATCTGGCGTGTGATGTTATTCAAAGGCTTCCTCAGCAGATATTTAATTTATCTTCATTTTCTCCTGTATGTTTTTTTGGGTGATAGGTTCCTGACTGGTTCGCTTTTTACCAGAATACCCTGGCACATCTCTTTTCTGACAGGCCGTCTGATTTTGTAATAGCGCTGCTGTAAAGAGAGATGTTGATGAAGGTCTCGTACTTGTTTTAGGTGCTTCTGATGACGTGCACGCTAACTGTTTAAATCATATAGATGTCATATTAAAGGAAAGACGTTTGGCCAATAGTTACTCCTTTCAGCGATATCATTCTCAAGCTATACAGTCGTATTCACAAATGTATATTTTTATATACGAGAGGAAAAGTCCCTTCGCATCTCTATTCTGGAACATCTTATCGAATTAGGACACCAAGTAAACACAAAAAACAACTTCAGAGTTGTCTTCAGAATGTGTGGGAATCTTTTTAAAAGAGCACGAATCAAACTTATTCAAACTGCAAAAGCAATAGCAGCTGACATGTTAAATTCTGAATTCTGCCTACAAAAGGAGAAAAAGTTTGTTCACTCATTAAATTTACATCGGACCTGATCGGTCTATCTTAACGACAAATACGTAATTCTTGTTTCTTCTTTTTCTTACTTGTTTGTTTGTTTCTTAATTGTATAACATTTTCTTCCCCCACCCCTAACTAAATCTCCACCCCTTATCACTATTGTTGTTGCTTTGACGTTTTTATAATTTTAATTTTAGCTAAGCTCTACTCAACCCCGTCAGTTAGATAACATCACTAAATTTGCTTATTTAATCTTAGTTTACAATCAAATTTGTTAGCTAAAATTTACAATTCTAATCATACATCTTTGGAAATATTCCATTTGTTTCTAAGACAATTTATTATTTCTCTGTGCCATTGTACATGTTACGAATGACGTCGCTGAAAATAGTAACGCTTGGCTGAACACCTTTTCATATAGATGTGCTACCTTATTTGATATTGGTTTCGAAAATCTGAATTTCATGTGTTATGCTGACTTCAGAGCCGTGGAGCTTGGCTTTGCTATTCCAATCCTGGCATTTCTATCTTCATCCTCATCAACTCATTTCAATTTACTCAGGTAGATAGGAATAAACAACAACGCATATTTCAATTCACTTGTGTATCATTGGCTCAGAAGCAGAAGGTTCAGCAGCCACTCACGTGTTCTGGGGTTCGATCCCCGATGGAGGTACCGCTGACCCCCGCCTAGCTGGTAATAAGCCAGGAAAAGAGGAGAGATTGTTTGTGAGACTAACAATGACAGCCGAGTAAAAACAAAACCTCTGCTATCGAAATTTCAGACCTCTTGCTTGAAGCATTACGTTCCACTGGGAACGCAAAGAAACAAATTTAATAATTTCAAGGCACCTATATATTTCCAAAAGGATTAGTTATCATTCATGCCATAGGTCCAGTAGCAAAACGCTTTTCTTGCCGGGAAAATTCCCCGAAATCACTGAAGTTTTCAACTCATCGTTACTTCACACCAAGGCCAGAATTCATTACCATTGAAGGCAGCATGACTTTCACTCAGAAGGTGTAAACTGAAAGCACCTTTATACATTTCATACTGTCAGTTGTAACTTCAACAGAATACATTAAAGGCCTCTAACCTCAACACTAAATCGTCAGTATTTTAATAACAGGAGGAACATGACTCTTCTTAACACTTCACATAGCCTTCAAAGCTTATATGTGCTGGGTTAAAACTCATTTACTCAAAACAGACCTTCTGATGTGCTTGGCCATATTAACTCCTTGTGAAAGCCTGTTGAAGGTAGCCTGTTACTCGAGGTGGAGATTCTAACCTTTCAGCTAATGTCTGAGACTACAGTATTCAGAATAGATCAATATAAATAAAACAAGGCAGTAATTAAGAGAACAAAACGAAATTTTAACTGATTAAAAATGCCCATT